AAGTTTACTCAATGATGACGAATAGGGGGCGGGTCGAACCGCGCATATGTTCGCCCGCCGTGGCGAACGCGAACATGCTATGTTCGCCAGGAATCGTTCGCCAGCGAACCGTTCGGTACATCACTATTGATCAACAGTGTTAAAGGCAGCAGAACGATCAAGGAGTATTAGGATAGAGTAATGGCTGCGAGATTTAGCAGCGATTAAATTGTTGGATAATTTTTCAACAGAGTGATGAGCACGGAATCCCGACTGAAGCGAGTCAAGCAGAGAGTTGGATTCGAGGAAGTCTGTCAATCTCGCATACACAACTTTGTACAGATTGCATTCAATGCTCGTTAACACTTATTCTATTTACATTTTAATATAATGCACATATAATAATAATACAAGCACATTTATATATACTATGTGCATGCACACACATATATACATACACACATATATGCATATGACTACAAATTACATGAATTGAGTGAGACAAACTTTTTTAGCCTTTTAAGCACACACATTCTCGCTGACCAATACACACACTCATTGGCACACACACTTTTACACATTCTCACTGAAAGACACACTGTGACATATTATTAGTATCAACATTATTATATTTATATAGCGTCAACAGATTCTGTAGCACTTTACAATGGGTGGACTAACAAACATGTTATTGTAACCAGACAAGTTTGAAGCACAGGAACAGAAGGGTTGAGGGCCCTGCTCAATGAGCTTAAATGCTAGAGGAAGTGGGGTAAAGTGACACAAAAGGTAAGGAAAGTATTAGGGAAGTAGACTGACAGAATGGTATTCAATGAAGAATACTTCAATGAAGAATAGTGTGTTTTTTTTGTTTGTTTGTTTTTGGAGCCATTAATAGTTTAATTGATCTGTTTTTTTTTTAAAAAGTGAGTTTTTAATGATTTTTTGAAGGAGTGGAGATTGGGTGAGTGTCTAACAGAAAAGGGAAGGGAGTTTCACAGGAACGGTGCAGTCCTAGCGAAGTCTTGAATGTGATCATCAGAGGTGGGAGTACGAACAGAGGATAGACACAGGTCTTCGGCAGAGCATAGGGGCCTAGACGGGATATTCTTGTGTATTAGGGAGGATAGATACGTGTGAGTTGCATTATGTAGAGATTTGAAAGCAAGATACAGAATTTTATATTGAGCAATATATCTTACGGGAAGCCATTGCAGGGACTGACAGAGGGGTAAGAAGTGGGAGGTGCGGGCAGACAGGAAGATGAGCCACGCCTCCGCATTCATTATAGACTGCAAAGGGGCAAGTTGGGAGCACGTAAGACCACTGATAAGCGGATTGCAGAATTCAAGGTGAGAGAGGACAGTAGCATGGACCAGCACCTTAGCAGCCTCTGGCGTTAGGTAGGAGCAGATGCAAGCAATTTTTCTGAGATAGAAGCGGCAAGATTTGGTGGTCGACTGGACATGAGGGTTGAAGGAGAGATTGGAGTCAAAGAGAACACCTTGGCAGCCAGTCTGCATGGTGGAGCTAAAGGTAACACCATTAACGTGGAGGGAGACAGAAACGGGAGTAGCAACACTTGAGGGAGGAAAGACCAGAAGTTCTGTCTTGAACAACTTGAGCTTAACGAACTGGGCAGCCACCCGGTAAGAAATAGCATAGATGCAGTCCGAGACATAAGTCAAGAGGGGCCGGGAGAGATCAGCGGAGGACAGATAGCTTTGTATGTCATCTGCATAGAAGCCAAAGGAGCTGATAAGTTTGCCAAGAGCGGCAGTATTGATCGAGGACAGTGGGGGACTAAGGGATGAACCTTGGGGGACACCAACAGAGAGAGGTTGGGAGGAAGAGACAGAGCCAGAGAAAGAAACACTAAAAGAGCACTGGGTGATGGAGGAGGAGCACCAGGAGAGATCAATATCTCGTAGACCGATGAGAAGAAGCTGTTGATGAACAACAATATCAAAAGCAGCGGAAAGGTCAAGTAGAATTATGATAGAGTAGAGACCATGAGGTTTTGCAATGAGTAGATCATTTGATACTTTGGTCAGAGCCATATCCACAGAGTGCTGAGCGTGGAAACCAGACTGAAGTGCGTCTAGCTGAGATTGGACTCGAGGAAGTCTGTCAATCTCACATACACAAATCTTTCAAGGGTCTTGGACGCAAAAGGCAGTAGTGAGATAGTGCGGTAGTTGGACGGGGAGTTATGGTCAAGGTTGGGCTTTTTTAGAATAGGGGTTACATGCTTAAAGGGTAATGGAAATATGCCAGAGGAGAGGGAGAGATTGATAATTTTGTGAGAGGAAAGGCAAGAAAAGGAGACAGAGTATGGATGAGATGCGAGGAAATACGATCAAGGGAGCAGGTGGTGAGGTCAGAGGACTGGAGCAGATCAGAAACCTCTTCAGCTATAGCGGGTGCAAATGAACATAGAACAGCAGGCAGAGTGAGATTGGGGGAAGTATTGCAAGGGGAAGGAGAGAAATGAGAGATCTCTTCCCTGATTGTAGAGATCTTATCAGTGAAGTGAGTTGCAAGGTTTGTGGCGGTTACATAGGCAGCTGAAAAGAGACTTGCGTCCAGCAAGTTCAGCCTTCCTTACATATATTTTTGTTTATGATCCAAAACAAGGCAAAAAACCTAATCTGAAATGCTTCCAATTTTGCAACAAACTAGGAAAAAATCCTTCTTGAACCCAAAATAGCAGTCAAATGTCTGCTTGGATCAAGCAGCTATTACCCCACTAATTAGAAAGTATATCCCTGTATGTTATGTTTTTGCAAGTATTTATACAATTGCAGTTTAAACTCTTAAGGACGGCGGGCGTGCTACGCCGTTGTTGGGGACCCGGCTCTAAACACTGGGGGGGCGGCATAGCACGTCCTCGCCGTCCTTTGTACTTAGCCAGTCACTGGCAATCCCAGCGTCCATTCCGGCCTCCCTAGGCGATGTGGCATAGCCGTCCATGTTAGTGCCAGCAGGGGAAGTGCCTGTAATGACAGGTACTCCCCCTGTTGCCTGAAAAAAAAAAAAAGTTTCAAAAAGTTTAAAATTACATTATATATACTTAGTTCATATATATATATATACACATACATACAGGTGAAGGATAGAATATCCATTTCACTATCTATTCTAGCTGGTTACATATTAAGGGTTAATTTGAAACTTGGAAAACCCTTACTGCTTGCGAAATATGTTCTTATTATTGGTCAAATCTTTGGTATTTGTAACATCTGGTTTTAATCAATATACTTGTGTAATTCAACATTTCAGCATAGGATATAACAAGAAACAGCTGCTTATATCTTGTGATATGCAACTATTATATAATTATTATGAAACTGCTCATACCCCCTCCACCATGAAAAAGATGTATAAATATAAGGTGCACATAAATAACATTTGAATTGGTTTTGGAAAACGTCTCTCTGTCTTCTTAACTAATTCCCGGAGCTCCAAGAGGGAGGGGATGACTATCAACCAGAGGGTTTGTGGCCTGTGTATAGCTGATTTTTTCCCCAACAACTGGACATTTTATTAATTATAATTTGTGGGACCTGCCTGACAATCCAGGCCAAAAGTCCAGGGAATTTAATTTTACCACATGACAGGAGGCTTCGTATTTTGCATATCTCTCTTTACTAGCTCCACAGCAGTAAAGAAACACAAAGCAAAAAGAACCAATCACAGGAGAGCAGGATGTACATAAGACAATGTGACCTCATCATTTCCTCTTTCTTTACCACTCCATCAAGCAGACAGGTCAGAGTATTACTCTTCTCCATTACTTTATGTTTCTATTGCCTCCTTTGAGGTTGTTTCTGTATTATATTTTTTATATACTTTACTGTATGTTCTTGCTGTGCTTCTGTACTATGTGCAGCTGTGTGTTTTCTATGTTATTTCATAGATATTATGTAGATTTAACATAATCCTTATTTCATAACCTTTAGTTGTGATTAATATCACTTGTAATTTATCAGTTTTATTGGCATTTCATCCTTTGTTTTGATAAGTATTATATGTACTTTATATGTATTTAATAGATGTCATATGTATTTTATGACATGGATTTAATAGGTGTTAGGTGTAAATTTTATTTTTGACTTAATAGGTTTTATGTATAGTTATGGTAGATGTACTTTATACCATATGTATCATGACTTTTCTGGCAATTTTCCTGGCCTTCTATACCTGGGGACCCTCTTTCCCCATTTTCCTCCTTCTCCCCAGGGTCTCATGGGGATTCTAGGTCTGGCTGGGGCTTAACCCCTTCCCTCCCGCGGTTCCCGTCGGCTCCAGGCCATTAACCCCTTCTTCTGGCCTATTAGTTCGACCGCTTCCTCCTACAACCCTCAGGGGGACGGCCGGACTCACTGCCCTCGGTCTCTCAGGCTGCCCCATACCGTACACCCGGTAATGTGCTGTATGCTTTCCAACATCCACTACCTTGGTGCAGGGCAGTCTGAGGGGTGACCACGAGGTAGCCCAAACATGACGCGGCGGCCATCTTTCATCCTGCGTCTACCGAGACCCCAGGGACCACGTTCCCCCTACTTTACCCTCGGCGGCCATCTTTAATCTTGCGTCTCACAAGATTATGGGCGGCCGTTTTGCTACTCTCACCCACCACGATTTCGGCGCTCGAGAGTAACCTATACCTGGGCTGTCAGGATGTTGGACCCCAGGGTCCCAAGTTTTAATACAGGCATAGGTAATTATTCTAACTGGCCTATTATTTTTCAGATTTGAGTCATACTCAGTGGTTCAAGGTGCTGGAACCTTAAAGGGATATCATCCCCAAAAATCCCTTAAAGGGATAGCACCCTCAAATTCCTTAAATATACCATTCTTGGACCCTTAGAGGGAACTCCTTAAAGGGATACCACCCTGGGACTACTTAAAAGGTATACCAAATCCTTATCACCCTTGGACACAGACTATCAAGATGGTACTGTATAAGTACATATCAGTGATGGGAGATTTGAAGGGATATCACCTGGATCAGGGTTCAGGAATCTACAGCAAGACTTTGTCTGGTAATGGATGCTCAAAGGGATGACCCCTATCACTTAGACTACCTGTCAGAACACAACAGATGACGGAACTTAGAGCTAGTGCTTTATCCTATTATCCCTCACAGGTCCTTACTGCCATATTAGGCACTATAGGGCTTTTTACCCTGTGCCTGCCTGGGGTGCTACCCCTATTACCATGATGCTTTTTGGAGGTCGCCCTGTGGCCACCTCTGTGATCCTGGGTGAGGCCCAGTTATAGAAATCCCAATATTGTAGTTTGCCCTGCTGGGACAATTTGACAACACTAAGTGACAGATTCAGAATACCCTGCCGGGGTTATTACACCTTACTGTCATGTATACAGACCCTGCTGGGGTCCACTGGCATTATTTACACTACAACAGATACCCTGCCGGGGTACCCCATATCATACACCCTGCTGGGGTTGTTTTGGTACTTTGAGACAATAAATTGCACACAATAAGTGCACACTACTGCATATCACACACGCTGCTGGGGTTGTTTTGATACTTTGAGACAATAAATTGCACACTACTACACCCTGCTGGGGTCTGCATGGTGCATTGCACACAATGAAACAGATTGTGCTCTCATCCAGTCAGTTTTATTTGGCCGCGACCCACGCTTGACGGATACATACCCCGCACACCTGAGGTGATCTCTGACTAGGTATAAGCCAATCTATTCAGCTAAAAAGGGGACAGAGTCGCAAGCTTCAGCACAGAATATCCCCCATGGCGGTGCATTAATTATTGGAAGAGCTGTAGGACACTCTCTACCAGGCTTATGACCAGCACTGATGGGTTCATACTGTTCAGTACAGCACTGCTGCTTCTACTCCTACCCTTATCAACAGCGAGCTCGAGGATTGAAAACCCGAACTTTGGATCTGTGACCGGCACTTACAGGTTCTGACCCAGTGCTCTCTGGGTGAGACCCCTACGATGGGGGAGTCACACTACCCGACCGAAGGAAGTCTTACAGCAACAGCCTCTACCTACAGTTGAAGGAATACCTCCATTGATAATGAATCATGATATGGTATGGGTTTATGCCCTATACCTATTCTGCGGGCTGCAGTAAAAAATATGCACCAGGCAAGGCTAGGCGTGCACTGCAATAAAATGCCAAACAGAGGCATGTGATTACAATCGTTGAACAGGAGTTCTGAGCCACCTACTTAACGATATATACTCCCCTTGAGGTGAATTTAATAATGCAAGAGATGACTGACACTCTCTATCAGGGCAATGGCCAGCACTTAAGGGCCTGCACTTTGAGCCCCCTGCTATATGTGCGCTGCACGGTGCTGCTGAGTGGAGGCAATGCTATGGCAACCTCTATGTACTGGGTGAGCCCCAGTCTGTTTTATTTGGCCACGATTGGGATTAAGACCAGGACAAACCCATGCCCCTCCATGCCGGTCAGAACGGCTCAGACGACTATAGTGACCAACGGAGCAGGTCTTTCAGGATTCACAACCTTACCATGGGCGATGCTGGACGCCGCCAAACATCGTCCGGGAACGGGCATACAACTTGGGTATATGGACTCAAACTGTTTCTGCTCCTCGCAGGAAACCCCAGTGTTGGCCTCTCCCATAGGATGCCCATAGCAGCACTCCTCCGCACTGACGGATGGTTGGCGGTACTGGTCGCCAAGATAGTCGGAACCCAAGCACAAGGCACAAAGTTCCGAAGGGAACTTATTAGACACGCAAGGGTCCCATGGCTTTCATAAGGGCCCAAACCCCTAGGACGGAGGTGTAATGCGATTACCTTTACAAGGGATTCTTTGGAATCGGTTGGCAACAGAGCTGGTCATCGACCACTTTGGGACATCTGACCCGAGATCTGCTACCGCTAGCTCTATTACCCATATATTACCCATATAGAGCGAGAGTCAACCAATGGTGCTCCAGATAAGCTCCAGATAAGCGGACAGAGAACACGGTATGCACGGATACCATCAATATACCTCCTACTACATCCACAGGAGATTTCACCACATCTAGGTGAAAGACACTCAATCCTGGGGAAGACCACTTTCACGTAGTCAACCGACTTGCGTTCAGGACCTAAAGACACGTTAGGACGGTCTTCTTCCTTCCTGCTCGACCACCTTACCCAGTTTTCAGGGAACATCCTCTCCTTCCCGATCCAGTAGCTCGAAGCCTGGTGGGCCCTGATAAACTACCGAAAGAACTAATGTATACAGGCGGGGAAGACGAGACACTCTCTTCCTGGAGAACCTCATTCAGATCACTCCAGGGAACTGAAAACTTGTCAACACCCATGTTCATCCGAGAACTGGCTGGAACCTCCAGACTTGTAGAAGACTATTCGCTCAGAGTATTCGTAGACTAGCCCACAACTTGGGAATATTCAAACGACTCTCCGGGGCACCACTGTGACCCTGTACGTTGCATACCTAGACTTCTTGGTCCTATACTTCACAATATATGGATTGATAAAGAAGTACTAGATCGGCTGCACCCTACTGCTGGTAACCACAGATTAGGCGGTCAGGTTTCACATCCATTGGGATGGACCAACTCCAGTTTATCAGACAACATGTAGGCTTCTTCGATCCCCGTCTTCTTCACAGAAGATCAACCCGTCTCCCGGGGGAGACACATCTCATAGGGCCCGACTGATTTGGATATTACCACTCGTCACAGTATAAGTCAAGGTACAATGGTGATCGCACAACGTCTGACCTGACCTCCCTGAAGGACTTATGCTTCTCATGCTTACAAGGTCTACAGAAATTCTCGAGCAGGCGAGGATCTTCTCCTGCTACATTCATGACCAACAATTCCTCAAGAAGCCGTAGGGTACTCACATGTTCTATCCCGGGAGGGTTGGCTACCTGGGGACCTGGAACCGCTTTGGGGGTTTCTTGGCAGGTCAGCGGATGATCGCAGGCTGCCGGGGACCTCTTGGGAATCTGGGAACCCAGGGATGCTATGACCCTATCCATACATCTGGACATTCCCAGCCTGTCTGGTTCGGTCATACATCTTGATCCCTTATATGAGGATGGAGACGGAACTGCAGCCCGTATCACTACCTGAGGAGGCCCAAGGGACTAGGATCCTCCAGGATACCAATTACCCAATGTCATACCTCTCCAGCTCATGAGTTGTGGAGGTCATTCTCCTTTCACTCTATTGGACTAAACATCCTGCTAACAAACGGTCAGACTTGGTCTTGTATAACTTCCCGTTAGATGGTGTATACGTGGGCGCTGAACGGTGAAGGCCTCCCCACAACGCCGAATACTGGGTCTCTCAGCACACTGTAGGACTCTTATTTAGTTCTATACTCTTTTCTCAGCGTTAAAAATGCAAAATAAGAAGCCTCCTGTCATGTGGTAAAATTTAAGATTATGCTAGCTTTAGTGTACTAATAATCTTAATTTTAATAATGACAGGAGGTGAGTATTTCCCGCCCCCCCCCGCTTCGCTGCCCACCCTTTCTATTTGTTTGCTTTGCCTCTCACTTTGATGCTTATATGATATGTTCGTACTTCCAGTAATATGGAATCCTCATTAGAGTTCTTATTACAGTTACTGAGTTATCAGATTATAGTTACTATATTCTCCAATGGGATGTTAGGTGGTACGTTAATTGGAGTTACATGTTCGTGACTATGTCTAAACCTGTCACACATTCTCTTTTCAGTATGATTCGTCTCTGAAGATAATTGGCAGTTCACATGAAACTATTGGAGATTTTATCCTTTGGATTTGTCTCAACCCTGAACTCTTTTTCGTTGTTCGTATAGAATTCTTTGGAAGTTTGCTCCTTCGCACATGGGAACTGGGAGTTATTATTAGTTTTATTGTTTGCTATATATTTACTTTTGCTTGTTGTCGCTTTCTGAAAGAGGAAATGATGAGGTCACATTGCCTTATGTACATCCTGCTCTCCTGTGATTGGTTCTTTTTTCTATGTGTTTCTTTACTGCTGTATGGAGTTAGTAAAGAGAGATATGCAAAATACTCGCCTCCTGCCTTTATTAAAATTAAGATTATTAGTACACTAAAGCTAGCATAATCTTCAATTTGCTAGCACTATTTTTAACCCTGTAACTTTCCAAGACACTATAAAACCTGTACATGGGGGGTACTGTTTTACTCAGAAGACTTCAATGAACACAAAAATCAATGTTTCAAAACAGTAAAATGTATTACAACAATGATATCATCAGTGCAAGTGACTTTTTTAGCATTTTTCACACACAAATGGCACTTACACGGACGAGATTATTGTTGTGATACAGTTTACTGTTTTGAAACACTAATATTTGTGTTCAGAGAAGTCTCCCAAGTATAACAGTACCCCTTATGTACAAGTTTTATGGTGTTTTCAAAAGTTAGAGTCAAATATAAGGCTTGTGTTTCAGTTTTTTTACATTAAAATTTGCCAGATTGGTTACGTTGCCTTTGAGACCGTAGCCCAGGAATGAAAATTGCCCCCATGATGGCATACCATTTGCAATAGTAGACCACCCAAGGTATTGCAAATGGGGTATGTCCAGTCTTTTTAGTAGCCACTTAGTCAAAAACACTGGCCAAAATTGGCGTTCAAATTTGTTTTTTTTGCATTTTTCACACACAAACAAATATTAACACTAACTTTGGCCAGTGTTTGTGACAAAGTGGCTACTAAAAGACTGGACAAACCCCATTTGCAATACCTTGGGTTGTCTACTATTGCAAATGGTATGCCACCATGGGGGTAATAAAATTCAAGGTTTTGTTTACGTTTTGTTTTGATCACAACATTTACATTCGGCTCAGTCCTGAAGGAGTTAAACATCTGTATGGACTCTGATAACACCACCTCTTCAGGCAGAGAATTCCATATCCTTATTGCTCTTACTGTAAAAAAAAAAAAACATTTTCTTTGCCTTAGATGAAATCTCCTTTCTTCCAGCCTAAATGCGGGACCTTGTGTCCTATGTATAGCCCTGTTTATAAAAAGATTTCTAGATAATGGTTTGTACTGGCCACAAATATATTTGTATAATGTTTTAATATCCCCTCTCAGGCGCCATTTTTCCATACTAAAGAGATTTCAATTTTTTAACCTTTCTTCATAACTAAAATGCACCATTCCTTTTATCAATTTTGTAGCTCATCTCTGCACTTTTTCTAGTGCCCTGATATCCTTCTTTAGATTAGGTGCCCAAAATTGCACAGTATATTCAAGTTGTGGTCTTTCCAGCGATTTATAAAGAGGCAAAATTATATATTCATCCCGAGAATGTATGCCCCTATTTATACATGACAAAACCTCACTGGCCTTAGCAACTGCAGATTGACATTGCATATTGCTGCCTAATTTGTTGTCTATAAAAATTCCCAAATCCTTCTCGTGTGTGGTTATCCCTAATTAACTACCATTTAGGGTGTAAGTTGCTTGTGAATTCTTGACCCCGAAGTGCATAACTTTGCATTTCTCTATGTTAAATTTCATCTGCCATTGTAGTGCCCAGTCCCCCAATCTATCCAAATCCCTCTGCAGCAAAGCAATATCCTGCTCACATTGTATTAAGTCGGTAGGAGGAGGAGGAGCAACAGAGTTAAAAGTGTAAAATAGTCGTTTGGGTTTGGGGAAAAGTGTGGTTATGATGGTATTGAAGTGATTTACTTTTGCAGAGGAAAGAGCCAAGCTGTAAAAACACAGCATAAATTTATAGTGGAGAAGGTCAGATGTGGAGTGAAACTTTCTTCAGCAGCGTTCAGCAGTTCTGGAGCATTTTTAGAGGTATCGGTGACAAAACTCACTATTTTCCATGTGTTTAAGACATTTCCCTTCTTTTTGTTATTATGTTCCCGAACTCCATTCACATTTCCCCAGTTCAGAAACACTGCAACTTACTGAACACTGACCACCCCCTGGCTTATTAAACTTCAAAGAAACCACAAACTCAAGTGCTGTCTTTGTGTGGGCGCTGTTCGTATAACCGAACAACACGTGCGCTGGAAAACGGCGGCATTCTTGTCACACGAACGCAGGCAGTGGGACCTAGTTGTCAAGTGTCTGAAACTATAAGTGATAAGTGAGTGATAAGTTGAACACTCAACACCGGTAATTTCATATGAACGTCTGCTTTTTCCCACCACAAGACAGGAAAGCGATGTTCAGTAGGATTGTTCACATGAACAAGGCAAACAATTTCTACCTATGAGCCAGGGGAACCATTCGTCTTTTTGTTCGGTTTGGAACTCCAGACCTCTACCACTGATTCCCTGGAACTGATTTGGGTAGACGCCACATGTGTGGTAACTTTACCCCAGTGGCGATTCGGCTATGTTCATGGATCTGAGCGCTGTATATAATATTTGTGGGGGTTCCTATATGTGTTATATGTATTTTGGGCTATTTTATATTTTACATTTTGTACCTGTAGTGTCTGGGAGATAATTAGTTTAACCCCTTAAGGACACATGACATGTGTGACATGTCATTATTCCCTTTTATTCCAGAAGTGTGGTCCTTAAGGGGTTAAGCAAAGTACACTCAATAATCTCCCAGACACAGAGACTATGGGGAGTGTTTGGGGCATGTTTTGCTATGTCCTTGCTTGTGACCCCATGCTTAGGGTTTGTGTACATAAGTGGGCCATCTGGCCATAATAAAACAGTTCATTTGTACCCTACATCAAGTCTAGGCTGATGTTTGGGTAGCTTGGAGTTATAATCACTACTTCACTTTTGGACTCGGGAGATTTACAATGGATATACTTAGTTGGAGTATAGGGGATCCGTTACAGTATCGAGTCAGCTTGGTGTGCCAAGGTTGTAGTTGGGGCCACTTGCTGCGTCTAGGTGCCATGATGTCTAGTTGAGAGGAAAGGGTGGAATCTCTCTGTAAGAGATTACAGAGCTAGGGCAGGTGAGGTTTAAGATAGGTGAAATGAGAGTTTGGAAATACATAAACTCACTGACAGACACAAACAATCTCATTGACAGATACACATTAAAAACACTCACTGACACACACACTCAATGACAGGCACGCATTCTCACGGAAAGACACACACTGACATACACTCACTGACACACCTTCACTGACATACACACATATTCTCAATGACAGATGCACAGTAATACACACTTTCGAACAGAGAGACACACACTGAAAAACACAGACACATACACACTGACAGAAACACAGACAGACAGACACACTTACACTGACAGACACACATTCACAGTCACACACACATTGACAGACAACACAGACAACATTCTCACTGATATAAAACACTCAAACACATGCACATTCTCTCTCACACACACCAATTAATCATATACATATAAAATGTATTTATTTATTTATTTATTTGTAAAACCCACCCACCCTCCCTACCGTTCGAGAGCTGATATGTGACATCTTCCTGGGGTCCAGTGTGGATCCTGTCTCTGGTGCTTGCGTAATCTTCATGCTCTTCCAGCTCTGCTCCCTCACATTCTGTTCAGTGACCCTGGAGTAACAAGGGAGCAGTACTGGCAGAGCACAAAGAACAGAACTCTTTCACCACTACAGTCTCCTCTCAGACAAGCTGTATTTCAGCCGAGTAGTCACTGTTCAACTAGGCAGGTACCTACTTTCCCAAAGGTGGCCAGCCAGCAAATGGCCTTTCTCACAGTTGGAACACAGAGGGCCCAGTCGCACTCACAAGTAGTTCCACCATTGCTGGAGATGTTGTCCCTGGTTCTGTGTCCAACTTTCAAGTGGCTTGAAAAAAAATGTGATCCCCAAGGCACCCACAGTTCCATTCCACAAAGTTACACTTTTAATAACATCAATATCATTCACATTTGTCTGAACAGGTAAACTCATAATCTCTCTAACTGCATTCCAAATATGGTTGAAATGTATATAGTTCATGCAACATTAGCAATACAGTGAGCAAGGGATGACAGCACACAACCCTGCAGGACTTGCCATAAGCAGAGCCTGGGCCCTTTACAATATTGAAACAGCTACACCCAGGACTCACAGCATACAACCCTGCCGGACTTGCCATAAGCAGTGGTAGCATTTCTGGATGATTGCTTCCCACCCACCCACCCCGCCCCACATCCCACCCTCCCCATGGCAATCACTACATTTATAGATAGATCAAATTACCTAGCTTTCCTGCTAAACCAATTATGTCCACCAAGTCCTCCACACCTAAAATAGCAAAATTCGCACAATACCTCTTTAACCCTTAACCCTCTGAACCACAGCTCTTAAAAACACAGCACCTATTCTCCTACTAATGTTCTCACTTCTATTTTTCACTTTTTCTCCCACTTCCCTCATCATTAAAATCTCTCTATCATTTTACTTACCTGTTCCTGCTAACACCATCTTCATTGCTCCCTCTCTGCTCCCCTCATCTCTGTATTCATCACACGCACTTTATTCATATCTATCCAGCCTTTCTCCACACACCCCTCCTAAATACCCTAAATACAAGCTCTCATCCCCAACATTTAAACCTTACTCCCACCTTCTCTTCCTTTCCATCCTACTACTCCTAGCAGCTGGTGATGTCTCTCCAAACCCTGGTCCCTCCTCTTCTCAGCCACCTGGTACAAACACCAGAAACCACAACAACCTAATACCCATTCCATGTAATTCTCACTATAATTCCTCTTTTAAAGCTGCCCTCTGGAATGCACGCTCTGTGTGCAGCATCTTTAAATCCACTTCCATCCATGACCTATTTATCTCACACTCCCTAAAC